TTTTTATTACGAATTCTCGTTATGGCAATCCATTATTCATAGGAGCGAATCGTTCAATGAAATCGTGTTCGCTGGTCATCTGCCTACTCGACCCGATCTGCTGATCCGTCTGATCTGTTGATCTGCCCTCGACTTCGTTTCTGTTTGTTTTCTTTTCTATTTCTGTAATATATTTTTTTCCTCTTCTATTTTTGAAGTAACCAAAACAAGTAATCTGATATATTTGTCTAACATGGCTGGCATTAAGCTCTTGGTAACATTTCCGCATTTCAAATGATTTTTAATTATTATTATTATTTTTTTTTTGTCAGACGCCTACACAACAAAACATCGAAGACTACCTCCAAGTGGATCTGTCGCCTTCTCCATCTCCATCTTCCTCTCTCGCTCTCCTTCCCTCTCACTCTCACAAATGTCAGGCTTATTACGAGCGAGTATTTTTGAGCCTTATCAAGTGCTTTTTTTGGATCTCAGTGAGCGTGTGTGTGTGTGTTGGGTACATCTCTATGTGGGTGCCTAAGCTCCATTGATGACACGTCATTTCTGGCATAGACATCTTCGTCAAATGTGTTAAGTCGAGTGAGAAAACCGAAACCGAAACCGAATAGCTCGAAAGAAAACAGGTCTTCCCCCATCTGGGAGGAGGGAAGTGTCAATAAAATGTCATGAAAAGCCACTTAGCTCAGCGACTCTGCTGTGTGCGTGTGTGCCTGTGTGTGTGTGTGTGTGTGTGTGTGTGTGTGCAGCTGGAGACGGTGCCTCACCCAAGGCACTTTAAACTTTGGCCACATCCGCTGTGGGGTTTGCCCCACTGAGCATTTGTCAAATTTTATCGCCAGTTTTGTTGTGGTTCTGTATTTCCAATATTTCTTCTACTTTTGTATCTATATTTTGTTGTTTTTTGTCTTTTGTTTTTTTTTTGCACAATTATTGCTTTGATTTAAATCAGTCTACTGACCCAAAAGTTCAGGCCACGGAAATTGCAAATTTAATAATTGAGTAGACGCCAAAAAGGCAGCTCGAGCTACGAGTCAAGTTAATGTAAGCCGAAAACCAAGGGGGCTTATTAATGCCAGATAACCTTGGCTGATTTAATTTCTTGTTCGCAAGCTGTGTGATTACTACAACAACAACAATAATAACAATAACAAAAGATACATAAACAACAACGTCAGCAAAACAGCAGCAGGAAAAATCAAAAACTTGCACAATTTCGACACTAAACGACGATCTTTGAGTTCGACTTGAGCTTTGTCGAGATATTTATATATATATAAATTTGTTGCTTCGGGTGCCAGTTAGTCGCATATTTAATTAAGAGATTGAGACCCAACCGAAACAGTGTTGAACAATGGGTACATGCTGTTGGCAGCACGAGTCAGCTGCACTGCACTGCGAGAAAAACTCGTTCGAGTTACTCGTCGCTGGAATCGCCTGATACCATTTTGCTTGTTACATATGGTGGAGTGATGCGCTCATCGAACTCTGGCTGCAATAGAGCTGGCCTGGTGATTAGGAACCAGGAGAAATAGATGTTCTCCGACATCGGTTGGGGTATGTGATCGTTCAGTGTATGCACCCAACTCTTGAATTCGTTTATGCGCTTGATCGATCCCTCGACAACGCCCGAGCAATCTTCGCGTTCATATGTGAAGATAACATAGCCATTGAGCCCCATAGCTCGGCATTGACTGATCAGAATAGATGGGATATATTCATCGCTGGCACGCAGTTTGTGCAACTGGAATTCCACATGAAAAATGGTATCCTTGTTAATAGCCGTCTTCCTGCGATCCCGACACAGCTTGCACATACAGAAGCAAAGGCCGGCTTCGGGATCGGTAACTGAACTGGAGTTATCGTCAATATTGATTTTGGAATCATCGCATTCGCTTCGCTCTGACAGCATGCGACTAGCGACCAATCTCAGATAGACTGCGCTATTGAATGAGAAGGATGACTTAATCAGATCCATTTCCATTTCTTATGAAAGTCGGAATTTTTCTGAATTATTCGGAGTTTGTGGGGATTTCTCTAAATTTTTCGTAATATATATAAATTCTTCTGAATTATTAGAGATTCGATTGAATTTGTATATTGCTTAAGTTGTTTAGTCGTCTTTTGAATGCCTTGAAATGGAAGATTTTCCGAGGTAAAGTCACAAACGTTGAGAAATTAATTTCACAGCTATATTGATTTGAAAATTCAATGCAATATGAGCTTAAGACCTTGTGGAAAAATGTAGTAAAATTGAATATGTTATGTAATCAAAGTTGGCTGAATTTCAGTTTGTAAAATGAACCAAAACAGTGTTGAATAACTTCTGTTAAACTTCTGTCACAATCAATGGGAAACTCGTAGTAGTCACTTGATTTCCCATCAGAGTGTTTTGGGTTGGTATTGAAATATCTATATACATTTATAACTATATATACATATGCATATACATATATCAGTGTATATATATTTACGTATGTATTTACTCTAAGCTATTTCAATACCAATCTGAGAAACAGTTCAATTAGCTCTTGGATAATAATTGGTCAATACTCCCACAAAAATGTCGATGCAATTTGAGCTGAGCGAACCGGTTGCTGTCTATAGGGTATCCTACAAGCTGTACCTATCCGATATCAAGGCTCTGATGCCACGTGTCGCCCTAAAGGCCACCGAGTTGAACGTGCGCGGCTATATGACCACCACCCAATGTGGATATGCGGTGAGCGGTGAACTGGAGGGCACACAGGATAAGCTGCAGGAGATGATGTCCTGGCTGGAGGAGGAGTCACTGAAGGGTAACGAGATGCCCAAGTTTGGCCAGTATCAGCTACAACTGAAGCCCGGCTACGATGATTTCTTCTGTTGTTAACGAAATCCCCGACCCCAGAAATGAAAAAAAGATGCTGTAAATAAAAATGTTGCAAGTGCCACAAAATTTGTTTCGAGTGCAGCTCTCATAAACAATAACAATCAGTCGAGCAGCGACGGCTATTGAACAATGGATCAGTCGAACTGCTGTGGCTGCAGCAGTTGCTGTTGCCAGTTGTTGCTGTTGCCAATTGCTGTTGCTGTTGCTATTGCTATTACTGCTGCTGCTGCTGCTGCTGCTGACTTTTCAAAGTCAAAAACGCGATTGTATCATCAGTTTTTAGTATATTTCAATGCTCGTTAAAATAGTGAAGGCGGGTATATGGGCTTGTTGAGGCATGAAATTATGTTCTTAGTCCTCTGAAAAATTCGTGTAAGATTTGATCTTTTAATCTTTTCTTGTGTACTTTACTCAGTGAGGATATCTTCTAACTTGTTAGTTGTCCTAACTAAATGTCTTAGCAGATCACAAATATAATTGAGATTGTGTTAGATGACCTGAAGACTAAGAGCAGCAGATTAGAAAAGCTTTCTGGGTAGGCCAATAGACTATTCAAATAAGATAGAAGATAAGCCCAAAGATCTCATATGAATGATTCATAGATTGCATAGATCCATCAATAAGTTAGCCAGATTTTTGAAGCCTTGAACGAGCATTGAGCAGCAGGTTCAACACGTTTTCTTAGTTCGCTTTTTTCTCCGTTGGTTGCTTTGAGGGCGCGGGTGACTCTGATTTGTGCAGATAGAAGAAAAAAGTTGCAAACAATGAGCCGCAGCCGCGATGAAAAATACAAAAAGAATTGAGCCTAGCTTGGCCCAGTGAGCCGCAGCAGCAGCAGCAGCAGCCGTCGCAACAATCGAATCAATTCATTTTTCTAGGGCGTACTATGCCACTTGAACGTTGAACTGCAGACGCCCCAATGCTGACTACTGTGAAGGCGACCGATCTTAACTGCCGAGCAGCTCCATTGTTATTGTTATTAAGCCAGCAGCAGCAGCAGCAGAAGCAGCAGCGGCAACAGTTGCTGTGGAAGCAACAACAGCAGCCGCAGCAGCAGCACTTGGTCTTGATCGTGCCCTGGCACTAGTCATTTTATTATTTTCAAGATTTCTTGGCGCTACTTGGCGCATTTCGCAACACTGGTCGGTGTGCGCGCCTACCTCAGCCCCAACTCTTTGCCATAATTCATGCTGCGGCTGCTGCTGCTGCTGCAGATTTATGGGCTTTGCTTAAATGGGAGCAAAGCGTTCTTGAAGCCAGGATTACGACGTAACATTTGAACAGGCAATGGCAATTCAATTAGACCTAAATGCTGTCAACAGCCAGGCAACAGCAGCAACAACAACAACAGCAGCAGCAGCAGCAGCAGCAGCAACAACAGCTGTGAAATAGACAGCAAAGCAGAGCCAAGTGTCGTCTGGTCTGTTTTGTCTGCTGTGTCTGCTGTCTGCTGTCTGATGTCTGTTGTTGTGTGCCTCGTGTTGCATAATATTTTATGCATGCAGAGCGCTTGCATATTGTTGCAACATGCTGCCATGCTGTTGATGATGATGCATAGCCTCCAGAATTGCCACGTTGCCCCTCCCTGAAAAAAAGCGATACCAGTAAGAGTGATCTAGTCGAGGGGGCTCGACGGGAAGTTACCCTGTGGGGCTGTCTATTATGTTTACTCTTCGATTATGTATACATATTGCGATGCTAGGACATTTTAGACAAATTTATCATATCAAATATATCTATATTTAAGCACTTATCGATTATATTATAAATTATTGTATACAAATTCAGTATATCAAAAAGAAGTTTTTATGGACTTATCGAATTGACTATTGGTCCTGATCACATATATTAGATTACCCCTTACTAAAATCTTAACGATGACATGACAATAAATATCTGGAAGTCGAATCTTGCTTCATGCTGGCAACGAACTAGGAGGTCCTAGACTCTATTCTACGGCAAGTTGTCGAAAGCATCTAAATAGAGATCTCTAGCTTGACTCAACTGTTGATCCTGCCAGCCCCACACCATGCACTACTTGATCATGCGCTTTTTGCACCCATTCTAAGCTATTACAGGGTATGCGCGAAACAAAAAATCAAGTCCGCCCGACCGTCAGACAGTCCTGCGCCAAGGCGTCCAGCTGTGCGCCGGCTCCAGTCGCCTCGGCTCGTAAGTGTGTCGAATATTCAAGTGAAAATTTCCCGCATAGAGCTCAAAGTCAGTCAAATCAGCGAGTGCGGCGCTTGTCTTGCGCTTGGCTCTTGTGTCATGTTGGTGTTGGTGTTTATGTGCGTGTGTGTGTGTGTGTGTGTGTGTGTGTGTGTTTGCCTATTCGTATGTCCATGGCATGTGCATGGGCCATATAGATGCAAATGTATCTGTATCTGTATCTGCTGCTGCTGCTGCTGCGGCTGCTATGCACATGGAGCTTTTATAGGTGGGTAGCTGCGACTGCCTTTCGACTGGTATTTCGCTTGCGTCTTTTGATTAGAGTCTGAGCCAAAACTTGTCGTTACAGTTGTTCTTGTTGCCGTTGTTGTTGTTGCTGTTGTTGTTGCTGTTATTGTTGCTGTAGCTCTTTAAGTCGAACAATTACATTTTAAGCGTAGCACAACCTTGGATACCGTTATATTTCTAGCTGTTGTTGGGCGTGTGTGTACGTCAACTAGTGGGCAAATAACACAGCGAACATATTTTTAGACA